ATCAATATTGGGTAATTTCCATTTTAGAAATTTCCTTTTAAAAAGCTGCTCAATTATCCTCACGTTTGCATTTTGTTAAGCTAAATAAAATATTCTATGATTTTTTCTTCTTCACATTAGCTATTTTATAAAACCATTGTCTCTTCAATTAGTTAACAAATTCTCAAATATGATACCTTTTATTTATTGTGTATTGCTATTGTATTAGGTTCTTTAAAAGGTGCTTGGCATTCATTGATCATAATCTGTCTGAGAAATGCCCCTTTTTTGAAAAGTATCTGTTAATAAAGTTAGTTTGCAACTTCCTATTTAAAAAATAAATCAGGGGCCGACCCCATGGCTCACTCAGGAGACTGCGGCACTGGGAGCGCAGTGGCGCTCCTGCCGTGGGTTGGGATCCTATATAGGGATGGCCGGTGTGCTCACTGGCTGAGCGCGGTGTGGGTGACACCAAGCCAAGGGTTGCAATCCCCTTACCGGTCACAGAAAAAGACAAAATAAATAAATAAATAAATAAAAATAAAAATAAAAAATAAATCAGTGTAATTATTTTCTAATTCTCTTTTTCTGATCTAGACTTCTAAAGCACAAGGAACACATAGCTCTGATCAAAGAGAAATCTTCAAACTGCAAAATATCATTAAGGTGAGTCAGATTGCTGATTCACAGTTGCTATTATACATCTAAAATCTTATTAATAGCATAAGCGTATTGTATTAGTCTGTTTTGTATTGCTATAACAGAATACTTGGAACTGGGTAGTTTATAAAGAAAATGAATTTTATTGCTTAAGGTTTCTGAGGCTGGGAAGTCCAAAGTCCATCTGATGGTGGTGACAGTGACCCAGGGGTCTCACATTGCAAGATGGTGGAAGCAGAGAGAGAAGAGAGAAAGACAGACTCTCCTCTTCTTTTTAAAGCCCTCAGAACCACACCCCTGACCACCATTTTCAATCCATTCCCTCCAGCGTGGTCCTACAATCCAATCACCTCCTCAAGGCTCTACCTTTCTATTACCATAATAGGATTTCCCACCCTCTTAACAGTCACAGTGTGGGCTAAGTTTCTAATACATAAAACTTGGGGGACATAATTCAAGCTTCAGGGAGTTTTGGGGGGACGTAATTCAATCCACTACATTCCACCCCTGGCTCCCAAAAACTCATGTCCTTTTCACATACAAATATATTCATTTCATCCCCAAAGTCTTAACTTGTTTCAACTCAAAAGTCCAAAGTTCAAAGTCCCATCTGTGAAATTCAAAACAAGTTACCTACAATGGTGGGACAAACAAAGGGTACATATTCCCATTCCAAAAGGAAGAAATAGGCCAAAAGAAAGGTGTAACAGGTCCCAAACAAGTCCAAAACCCAGCAGGGCAGGCATTAAATTTTACAGCTGGTGAATCATATACCTTGATTCCATATTTGGTGTCCTCTGCATGCTGGTGTGTGCGTTGTGTCCCCAAGTCCTCGGGCAGCTCTGCCCCTATGGCTTTCCTGGTTGCAGGCCACGCTTCAGCTCTACCAGGCTGGGGTTCCACTTTGGTAGCTCCACAGGTCTGGGGCCTCCATGGCAGTCCTGCTCTCTTGGCTGCAGTACGCATGGAGCTTTTGGGGTTTTTCTGCTGCAACTCTGACCCCACATTTCCACTTAGCATTGCTCTAGCAGACTCACTGCAGTGAATCTACCCCTATGACAGATCTCTTCCTAGGGCACCCAGACTTTTCCATAAATCCTCTGAAATTGCGATGGAGACTCCCAAACCTCCACAGCTCTAGCATTCTGCAAGCGTGCAGACCTAACACCATGTAGATGCCGCCAAGGCTTCCAGCATGTATCTTCTAAACCTGCAGGTCCAGCTACACCTGGGACCAATTTAGCGATGGCTGCAGCAGCCACAGCAGCCACAGCAGCTGGGGTTTTGGTGCTGGAAGTAGCTTCCTGAGATGGCCCTGGGCAGTGAGCCTCTGGAGGGTGCCTCGGGCCTGTTAGTAAAAGTCTCAGTTATGAAATTATATTTGTTTCTTTTTAAATATTTTATATCGTCTTTATTTTTTATGACAAGTAAGGTATATAAAAATCTCTTTTGAAAATCTTTTTTTGTGTGTGTATTTGTGTGTGGCTGGCCACAGGGATCCAAAATCATTTGATTTTGAACATTTGTTAGTTAGCTTATATTTCATAAGTCTCTACACTCGACTGTATCTCATAAAACTATCTTTATTAAAACAGAATTCCAAGGTTATTGAAGTTTCAAGATTTAAGATTAAAGGCTATTGGCAAAATAAAATGCTAATATTATTCATTGTAAATAATTATTTTTACTTTATTGGTAAAATAGTTTATTGCTACTTTGTGTCAATTATTATATTTCTTTTGAGATAATTCTTAGTTACATATATTTATTGTGTCGATGAATTGTTTTCAGTGTGTAAATTATTGTCAGATACAGAATTTTTAGTTTTTGCTTTTATTATTATTATTATTATTTTTAAATTTTAATTGACTCAAAATTGGTTATACATATTTTGGGGGTTCAATATGGAGATATGTTGATCAAATCAATTATCACTAGCATATATATTGTTACAAATCATAATTATTCTTTATGCCCCTTGTCCAATCTCTCCCCATCCCCCTCTCCCTCCCCCCTCCCCCCTCTAATTACCCGCCGCACTCTCCTGAGTGAGCCACAGGGCTGCCCCCTTTTTAAAAATTTTTTTTTGTTTTGATCATTACTTCTAATTCTTGACTTGTGTCATTAAAACTGACAGTTTTGAAAACTTTAATAGCTCATGTTTTTTTTAATTTAATCATAATTGATTATACATATTTTGGGGATTCTGTGTTGATCAAATCAATATCACTAGCATATATATTGTTACAAATCGTAATATTCTTTATGCCCCTTGTCCAATCTCTCTCCATCCCCCTCTCCCTCCCCCTTCCCCCCTCTAATTACCCTAGATTTCTTCTCTCTTTCTGAAAGAATAATGGTTACTTTGTTGATTTGTTGCCTAGATGATCTGTCCAGTGCTGACAGGTGTGATCAGGTCCCCCAATATTATCATAGAACAGATGCTTCCTCTGTCACTCTGGAATGGGCTTTGTGGAGAGAGACATCCTCCTCCCTTCTTTATGTCTGTTGGTGACTCTCCTTGTGTCAGTGCACTCCAGGGGCTGGCAGACCATCTGTGGGGTGGTTGTGGCGTCCAGCTGCTTTCGCAGTAGCCATGGTTATTTTAGTGGCTGTGGAAAGCCACCCACATGGAGGTGATGTTTTTGGCATGCTCCTTGCTGCTGGCGGTGTGCCTGGTTGTGGATAGTATCTAGTCCCCATCTTTATGCCTTGGGTCCTTGCCTCCACACCTCAGGTCCCTGGGTGGGCCCCGAGGTGCTGGCGTGGTGTGCCTGGCTAAGGGAGGGGGGCCCAGTCCCCTTCTCCATGCCTCGGGTCCCCGGGAAGTCCCTGAGGTGCTGGCATGGTGTGCCTGGTTGTGGGAGGGGGGCCGGTCCCCAGCTCCATACTCCAGGTCCCTGGGTGGGCCACAAGACGCTGGCACTGTATGCTTGGTTATGGGCAGGGGTCCGGTCCTCTTCTCCATGCCTCAGGTACTTGAGTGGGCCCCGAGGTGTTGGTGGCATGCCTGGATGTGGGAGTGGGGTCCAGTTCCTGGCTCGAAGCCTTGGGTTCCCAGGTGGGCCAAAAGGCACTGACTGTGTGAGTGGGTGTGAGTGGGGGTCCTGTCCCCATCTCCATGCCTCATGTCCCCAGGCAGGCCCCAATGCACTGGTGGTGTGCCTGGGCCGGAACTAATTTTTCATCCCTTGCTTACTTCTAAAATGCGGGAACTTCCTGTGGGAACCAGTACTTGAACTCTGTGGTTGAGCTAAACTGCTGCTTTGCTGCTGTTTCCCTAGGGAAGGCTTTTTGTGCAGCTCAGGGTTTAATGGTTGACCTTACAGGTACTTCCGGCTCCCAGAGACCCGGTGCACCTGGATTGTATAGAAACTCTGACCTGGGCCTGAGTTTTTTCATCAAACTGCACCCCCTGCAATTCTGCATTCCCGACCAGTCTCCTCTGAGTAGTCCTGTGCTGATTGGGGGGCTGACTGGCTGTCCTTCCTGTGTTCCAGTGTTCTCCTGGTGGGCCTGTCTTCCTCACCACCCATGCTTCAAACACTTCCCATGGGACGGTCCGCGCACCATTCCCTGGCGATGACTCACTGGCCTCTGAATGGCTCCCATTTTTCAGCTGTTCTAACTCCTCACTCCTGTGTGGGTCCACAGGAACCCTATTAATGGTCTTGCTGTCCTGGGGGCCACCAAGGCCCCCCTTTTCCCTGCCGCCTCCAAGTAACTCCATCTGAAGGGCACAGCTGTGGCTTCTGCTGGCTCCTGCTCCATGCACTCAGCAGCTTAAGCATTAAAGCTGTGATGACCTGAAACTCTCAGAGCAGTTTTTTCTTTCTGTCATTGTGGTTTCTCCCACCTTCATGAACTCCGTAGGTCTCTCCTCCTCTTCCCCTGAGCTCCAGTGGCCCCAGCGTGGCTGATGTTACGTGTTTATAGTTCTAAATTCCTGAGACCAGGAAACTGCTATAAATTTGCACTAAGTTCTAAAGAATGAGTAAATGACTAGCTCTGCTTGTCTGCCAGAAATTTGCTATGGCACCACTACTTTCAAGATTTTGCAAAAATGGAAAGGTCCTTTTGCATTTGTGGTAAATAATTATAATTCATAGATTTTTTTTTTTGCATTGTCTGGTGGTCATATTTTACTTTCTTTCAAACTCAGGTATGTAGGTTTTTTAGTAGTTGATTCAAATCCTATGTTTCCCCAACTTTTTATTTATTTAAACATGCTTAGTTTAGTATGGTAATTTAATTTTTCTTTTTAAGCTTTTCAAGTTCTGAACTCTTAAATCTTAGTTGTAAATAGCAAGCTATTTACTTCTCGATTCTTAACATTTGATATCCTTGACTTTATATTCTAGGTGGCTCAGGAGTCACAGGAACTGATCACTCTAAAATCTATGAGATGCAAAAAACTATTCAAGTTCTACAAACTGAAAATATAGAATCTACAAAACAAATTCAAGAACTTGAGGATAAAATAAAAGACATAAATGAAAAATTATCTTCTGCAGAAAATGACAGAGATGTTTTAAGGAGAGAACAAGAACAACTAAACGTGGAAAAGAGACAAATAATTGAAGAATGTGAAAGCTTGAAACTGGATTACAGTACGTTGCAATCTTATGCTATGAAGCAAAGTGATTGTGTGACAGAAAAGGAAAGAATTCTTCCATCAGTGGAAAAAGTCACACTGCAAAAAGCACTGCCTGGTATAAAATGTTTGGAACTTATTTCAGACTGGTATTTCATTGCACACTAGTTGTTTTTAAACACTTGAATAAATGAATACTTCTTGGTAATGGAGTATTCATGGAAACAACTTTGAGTAATTTGAGAATTGCTTGGTTTGGGTTCAGTGCCATAGTTAATAATAGATCACAAATAGGAATTTTCTACTGAAAATGGTTAAGTATTGGCTTAGTGTTTCTCAACCTACCCTCATTATCCTTTTATTTACATGTAACTCATTGATTTAGGAGGCCATGCAGATATCTGAGAAAAGTTTATGTACGTTGACATTTTTGGGAGGAGGTAACGGTCTGTTTCTTGTAATCTATATTGAATACTTCCTGTAACTCAACAGGGCCCAAGCCCTCCAGTTAAGGAATGCAGTCTTTCTTCTTCAAAAATCTGTTGGTGCCTTTTGAAATGATCTCCTATATCGAGCAAAGGCCTGAGTAGTAAGAGCCATAGATCTTCTGCCATTTTCCATGCTAAAGATGATAGTTATAGTATTGGATGAAATACACCAGTATGCCTTCATGGCAGGAAAACATAATGGGAACTCTTCCGCTGAAAAGATGCATTTCATTTTGCACTTTGTCCTTCTCTCACACTATCAACTCTCACTTTTTGAACTCACGCATTTCTGCTCTGGAGGTTTCCAGTCCTTGTGTGCTTGTGACCCCCCATATCTGTATCCCTCAACCAGTTGTTTATCGTGAGTTCCTGATCTGTATGGCCAGTTCTGTATATATCAGATGGATTTTCAAACTAAAGTTAAGTTTAAAGTAAAGTCACCATGTCCTTTTCCGCCTCCTCTTCCTTTCCCTACCTTAGTGATTGGTAGCATTTTCCAGTCTCCCCAAACAGAAAGCTAGAAGTCATCACCCAGCAAGTCCTGTAGGTTCTGTTTCCTTAGCTTTTCTCTGATTCAGTGATATTTTGGGATTGTATCCCATAGGAGCTCTAGGGTTTCTCACAGGTTCATCAGTCCTGGGAGCTGCCAAGCAGGCAAAGTGCAGTGGGAGTCTGGACTTCTTTTTCAGTTGGCTTCAATCGGAGTAGCTCTGCTCTTTTAAAAAAAATATTTATCTATCATGTTGGGCGATCCATATGAGTTTATTTGCTTAAAAAACAAACCTACTGACGTAGACTTTCTCCTTTTTTCCATTTTTGTTGCCATGGAATTGCTTCAGCCAATCACAATTGCTTTCTGCCTATGTTAACTATAGCAGATCTCTTAGTGGAGCAGGATAATACAGTGGTGAGAACCTGACTGGGTTGGAATACAGCTCTATCGCTAACTAGCTGACCTGGGACAAGTTAGTTAACATCTCTTTGCTTTGGTTTTTTCACTGACAGGGTTGAGATAATATTAAGTTCTTTATAGTTGTTGTAGTAATGAGGATTATAAGAGTTAGTTACTAGCTGCACATTCTCTTTAGAACAGTGTCTGGCCAATAGTGTTATAAAAGCATTAGCCATTTTTATTCTCTGGTCTCCATGATTCCTTCTTTAATCCATTTTTTCCATTCTGCAGCCAGAATAATATTTCAGAAATGAAAAGAAAGTTATTCCCTTGCTTTTACCTTTTTTTACTTGGTTGCTGACTGGTTTGGGGATCTGAACCCCTTGACCTTGGTGTTACCAGCACTGTATGACAACCAACTGACCTAACCAGCCAGTCCTTAACAGTTGTAGTCTCCCATGTGGGAAGATTTAGTTTTAATTCTTTAATTTATTTTTTGGGCCCCTGGCCAGTATGAGAATCCAAACCCTTGACCTTGGTATTCTAATACTGTGCTCTAACTAACTGAGCTAACTGGCCAGCCCCCGTTCCCATGTTTTTAGTACTTTGTGGCTCCCTGTGAACTTCAGGATGAGGTCTAAACTTCTTAGTTGGACATGTAATGTCCATCATGGTCTGGTCCCTGTCTGCCTCTTTTGTTTCCACTCTTCCCATTGTCCTCACTTTCCGAGCTTTAGCCATATTGAACTTTCTATATCTTCTGAAACCAATAGTGTTGTCACTGCTCTGTTGCCTGTGCTGGTTTCTCTGTGTTGAGTGTTGCCATG